TGGCATCACTGATGTTCTCTCTGACCTCATAGGGGTCCAGACACCTTGCCAGGAAGTCACTCTCTACAGTGGGCACCAAAACCAAGACTGTCTCCCGGGGGTGAAGGTTCTGAAGACCGGTTATAACCTCTGACCTGAACCTCGCGGGGACGCTCCATATGCTCCTAAACTATTGTCCTGTCTGCCGCCGATCTATCCTCCATCTGTGTTGTAAAGTTCCGACTCTCGTTCCCGTGTTTCCCGAGCTAGGTCCAGGAGTCCACGGGGGACGTCTACCACGCAAAAGATCAAATGGGGAAAACCGTGTGGAGGATCCCAAGGATTACGGATGGTCTGGGAAGTCCCGGTCTTTTCTAGTCTTATCCACCACTTTTCTTGTAGCGTGTCTCCTGGGTTCTACTGAACCGTTCGAGGAGCCCATCACTATGGTGGTGGTGATGCATTGAGATGCATAGGTGAGTAATTGTCATCACCTGACACGGCTCTTTGGGTATCGTTGACATAAAAGGGACTCCTCGGTCTTTCAAAATTACCCTAAAAATACCAGAACGTGAGGAACATCTCTTCAGCTATAACCTTAGGAGGACAAGTTTCTGGCAGATATTGCTTCTGGATACCGGGTGGCATAGTCAAGGACTACTAATATGTGCAGATGCCCCCTGAGGTATCGCCCTCGTATCACCTGAGTGTAAATTGCGCCTCGTATGTTGTATTTCAGGTTTTAGTCTCTTTTTCACATTCTTAAATATCACAAAACTATCAAACTTTTGTATCTTTAGGTTTCCTTGTCTGGATGTGATGTGTAATCTGTGTGTGTGTCCATGGAGGTGACGTCATGGAGGAAGGGACCCCCGAGGACAACACGATGAGACGTAACGTAGTCTGTAGTATTCACATTCAACACTAGGCGGCGATCTTCCGTGGAACGCACAGACAGGAAGTGATGTCACCCACAGGAAGTGATGTATGAGTATTGAAAGGAAGTTCCAGGTTTACCGTCATTTTGGAGGAAGTAGAGAGGAGACATTGCTGGAACTGGAGGTAATTAGACATGATCATGTCCGTTATACTTTATAGACCGGATACATCCTAAATATAGAGCCATTTATCCAACCGTCCATCCAGAGCCGCCATTTATAGACCGGATACATCCTAAATATAGAGCCATTTATCCATCTGTCCATCCAGAGCCGCCATTTATAGACCAGATACATCCTAAATATAGAACTATTTATCCAACCGTCCATCCAGAACCGCCATTTATAGACCAGATACATCCTAAATATAGAGCCATTTATCCGACTGTCCCTCCAGAGCCACCATTTATAGACCGGATACATCCTAAATATAGAACCATTTATCCAACTGTCCATCCAGAGCCGCCATTTATAGACCGGATACATCCTAAGTATATTCTATGAGATGACGTTCACCGATGTGATTTCTGGTTCCCTTTCACAGATCCGTTCCGTCATCTTTGGGGTGAAGAAATGAAAGACTTCAAAGAAGAAGAGACGTTGAGTCATTGTGTGTCTCCTACAGATGGATCCAGTAAGAGGAACCCACCAGAGAGATGTCCCCGCCCCCTGTATTCCCGGGATCCCACACAGGAAGATCACAACTATGCCCGACGTGATCAGGTCGGTGGGACTCGACATCTGGAACAGTTCATTCTTCGGTGTTATGAGATGAATTTCGTGTCTCGTAGTCTAATAATGTTCTTCCGTAATATTTTGTGATGGAAGGGTGAGGATCGGGGGAATATGAAAGCCGAGAGTAAAGCAGAAGAAGAAGAAGAGGAGGAGATCGACGTGAGGGGTGGTCAGCAGCCATTGGAGGAGGCCGGGATGATGACAGGAAAAGAGGAGGAGTCTTCTCCGGATATCACCAAAGGTGAGTGTGAATGTTATATAGACAACCGACTCACATTCTGCTCGGCTGCTTCCTAGTAGACGTCCTACAACACATCTCAGTAGAAGGATGTAGGTTGTCTCTGGTCACATTCTTCTGAAATGCTGAAGATCATTTGGATTATTGGAAAGAGTAGACTAAGGGTCCCATGTAGATCCTCAATCATCCCCCATAACTGTTCCCTACAGATGGATCCAGTAAGAGGAACCCACCAGAGAGATGTCCCCGTCCTCTGTATTCCCGGGA